TAGATGTAAATTATGTGCCGTACCTCCAGATTCGTGAAGACGAATCGCCTCTTGAATATCAATCTACACCCGTTAACCACCAGGCAATCGAACATTCGCATTGCTGCACATACATCTCCAGTGGAATCAACCGCCCCCCGACTCGAACTCCTCGACCTCGTCCCTGATCCAAACGACGACCCTGACTGATCACCATAAAACGACGAACTCGGCGACAACCCACCCCCAAAATTCGGATTCTGAACCAAAACCGTAGCCCTCTTCTCCCACTGTGCCTCCCGGTCCTGCGCATCCCCCAATCCATCATCAACATGTGGCAAATCAGCCGGTATATGTGCGGAAACGGGACTCGGACTCCTCGAACCGCTCCGGTCAAGATGCAATAACTGCGATAACCGTCGCGGACGACCAGTCGGAGACGTCGGAGACGCTAACGTCGCACCCTCGGTTGAGAATTCGTTGGATGGAGAGCGCGACGATCGGCGAAGGAAGTTCATGGATTTTCGGGGTGAGGATGAGGCTGAGGAGGGTCGCGAGGGATCGAGTCTTCTGTCGTAGTCATCTTCATCGAAGATAACGGGGCTGGTGATGATTTCGTCGGAGGTGGTGGTGTCGGATGCGACGAATCTGATCTCAGGCACGGCGGGGCCGGGAGGGCTCATAGGGGCAGACATGCCAGTCGCATACTGGCCGTTTGTGGTGTAATGGATATCATCCTTCTTCTGTAGGATCTCTCGTAGGGGCATCGTGTTGATCGTGATCGCGTGGTGTTTGCTTATCAGTTTTTGCGGGGTGGGTACGGTATTCGGTAGTCTGAGGGAAAAGCTGGGGTTAAATCAACGTAAGTCATATATGCTGATGTAAAGAAAAACAGCCTTGTTTCTATTCTGGTGAAGATAAGGCTGACGCAGTGTTATGGCTGTGGCTGAGAAGAAAGTAGCCGGAGAGCGTTGTCTAGTTGAGTTAGTCGGCTTGGCCGGGTGTCGTGAATCAGGAAGTGTGTTTTGAGCAAAGATTGGCGTTGTCTGGACCATCCGGGCACGGCTGCAGATTTTGCAGGTTCATTCATTGTCTTCCTCGGTCTATTGAGTGAATTGAGATGGATTCAGTCTCTATGATGAATTGGATGAAAGAAGACACTTGATCAGTGTAGTTAACTAAAGGAGTTGGATTACATAAGGCCTCGCATTAGACATGCATGGACGTTTTTTTT